AGAGTAGTTTCTCTGTTGTGATTTGTTTTTGTTTTCTAGAAAAGAATAGAATTCAAATAAGATGTGAATTGTGTCTTAAAGTTTTTTTTAAAGGAAACATCAGAATATTTACTTCCAATAGCTTACATAAGCCATAAAAAAAGAGAAAAACAAGAGTCAATAAGTCTGCTTAGGAAAAGAAGTATTCAAATCTGAAAATGATAAAAAACCAAAACAAACTGTGTGAGTGGCAGATTTAGGAAAACAAATGAAACCAGGTTTAGAAGGGATTAAATCCGGGACCAAAGAGAAAAACAAAAATCTTGGGACCCATATCCACAGTTGCTTAATTAGCACACAAAAGATAAGGGAAATAAGTTAGTTATACACTATTATTTAACCTTTGAATGTAACTCTCATTAATAGAGAAGATAATATTGATGAAAATAACTTAGAAACTGTAAAGTGTACACAAATATAAAATACACACACCTGAACATGCATTCACTGCTGTCCTTAGACTGTTTCTGTGGTGTCTTTATAACAGTTGCATGCATTAAAGGTTCAAGTAAGGACTTATGATTTGGGGTTTTTAGTTTGAATATCTTTAAAGTAAAATAAAAAACATTATATGGAAAAGTGTGAATTTCTTTCATCAAATCCTCTTTGTACCTCTCTTTGATATCACTTTCAATATCTGTGGTAGATTTGAAATTGCTGCCTCTTTTGCTGCCTTTTCTACTCTCTGTGTCCTGTCCTTTAGTCTGGGTCGGCAGTGACTTGCTTTGGAGGATAGCATGTGGTGGATGCCTGGCAGCTTCCACTTTTGCCCTCTTGGAATGAGTGAAGAGGCCTGGGCGAACCTGGGTGAGGATGAGAGACCATGTGGGTAACAGGCAGCGAGCAGCCAGCACCCCAGCCTGCATGAGGTCTGCGCTGCAGGAGCGGTCCCAGGCAAGATCAGCGGAACTGCCCAGCTAAGCCCGACCCAAACGCTGACCCACAGAACAAGTTCATCCCCTTTCCACACACAGACTTCCCAGGATCTGGGGATGACCATTATGTTCTACTTGTATCATCTGTTTTCAGCTTCAACCCCCTAACACTCCTTTGCGATCTTTGCTCATCTGACAGTTTCCATGGTTTTCAGACCTCAAATTGACCTGGACACTCCCCTCTGGACATACTCCAGTTTGCCAATTCCCTCTTTAAATTGTGTACTACTCAGAATTGAAAAGTGTTTCAAATACGATTTCCACTTTTAAAAAATGTTATTACTTAAGAAAAATTTGCACTTTTAACCACAGTATCTTTGTTCTCATTTTTCTCTGTCTCTTGCTCATAACACACCCTCTATCAGGAGCTTCCTCCTCTTAGTTCCTTCCCTGAGAGGCAACAGTTTCCTTGACGGTGCTTTCCTATCAGAACTGGCTCCCCACCCTAAGTGCTTGTAGGACTCAGGTGCCCAGCTCATTGCACTGCGTCAGGCCAGTAGGCAGGGTCTGGCTCCTTGGCTGGGCTGTGAACTCCTTAAAAGCAGTTACTTTATTTTACTTTTGTACCTTAACACTTTACATAATACTTGGCACATGCCAAGTGCTCAATAAATGTTTAATGAGTTGGATAATTATCTAATATTCTTTGGGTATTAAAATATATTATCTTGCCCTGACTGGTTTGGCTCAGTGGACAGAGCATCGGCCTGCAGACTGAAGGGTCCCAGGTTCGATTCTGGTCAAGGGCATGTACATTGGTTGTGGGCACATCCCCAGTAGGGGGTGTGCAGGATGCAACTGATCGATGTTTCTCTCTCATCGATGTTTCTAACTCTCTATCCCTCTCCCTTCCTCTCTGTAAAAAATCAATAAAATATATTTAAAAAATAAAATAAAATATATTATCTTCTGGTCCACCTTTTCCCACAAGGCTATCAAGAGAGACAGCCAGTCGAAACGGCCCTGGTGAGGCTGAGACGGCCCCGGTGGGGTTGCGACGGCCCCGGTGAGGTCGAGACGGCCCTGGTGAGGTTGAGGTGGCCCCTGTGAGGCTGAGACGGCCCCTGTGAGGCGGGGACGGCCCCTGTGAGGCTGAGACAGCCCCTGTGGGACTGAGACGGCCCCTGTGAGACTGAGATGGCCCATGGGAAGCTGAGAAAAATACCACATGAACTCACTCATTTATGGATAATAAGGACCATTATAGACTGATGAACAAAAATGGATATAGAGGCAGAGCAGCATTGAGCAGACTCTCAAACTACAGTGGGAACCCTGGGGAGGGTGGGGGGGGATAGATCAACCGAAGGGCTTGTATGCATGCATATGAGAATAACCAATGGACCCAAGACCCTGGGAGGTGGGGGAAGCTGGGGGAATTTCAACGGGGGGGGGAAGGAGACATGTGTAATACTCTTTGTAATACTTTAGGAAATAAAAATTTAAAAAAAATAAAAATAAATAAAATAAATAAAAACAAATAAATTAACCATAAAAAAAAAAAGACAGCCAGATTCCTGTTTCTTTTTTTTTTTTTAAATAGATTTAAAAAACTATATATTTTTTATTGATTTCAGGAAGGGAGAGGGAGAGAGAGATCAAAACATCAATGATGAGAGAGAATCATTGATTGGCTGCCTCCTGCACACCCCACAATGGGGATCAAGCCTGCAACCTGGGCATGTGCCCTGACTGGGAATCCAACTGTGACCTTGTGGTTCATAGGTCGCCGCTCAACCACTGAGCCATGTTGGCTGGGTTAGAAGCTCTGTTTAATCTGTATTTTTCAGTTAAGAAAACAGAAACTTAGAGAGATAGGTCACATGACCAGAAGGGGCAGAGGCAACACCTGAACCCAAGTCTTTCCCAGCGATGTAGGTGCTCACTCTCACCTGCGGTCCCAGTGCCTCACATTCATGCTGTTCTTTCCTGACCAGAGATGATTTTTTTTGATGGAGATGAACAAACGAGAAAAAGAGTTCATAGGTCGACACTCAACCACTGAGCCACACCAGTCAGGCTGAATTTGTCTTGAAGTTAGAATTAGGCTGGTGAGTGTTGTAGGGATAAAGGAAAGAAACACACTCACTGTTGTCAGGGGTTGCCCTAGGTCAGTGGTCGACAAACTGCGGCTCGCGAGCCACATGCGGCTCTTTGGCCCCTTGAGTGTGGCCACGAAGTTTCAATCGCACTGTACATGCACGCCTGCATGTGGTATTTTGTGGAAGAGCCACACTCAAGGGGCCGCAGTTTGCTGACCACTGCCCTAGGAGCTTTCCCATGTTATTAGATCACTACAGACCCGATGCACGAAATTAATGCAGGAGGGGGTGGTCCCTCAGCCCGGCCTGCGCCCTCTCGCAATCTGGGACCCCTCAGGGAATGTCTGCTGGGGAGCGGGCCTAAGCCGGCAGTCAACATCCCTCTCGTAGTCTGGGAACCCCTCTCTCCTTACTGCCCACCTACTCCCTGCTCCTTACCACTTCGCTTGCTTCTCCTTATCGCTGCTGCGGAGGCGGGAGAGGCTCCTGCCACCGCTGCTGAGCTCGCCAGCCTGAGCCCATCTTCTGGTTGAGCGGCACTCCCTCTGTGGGAGCACACTGACCACTAGGGGGCAGCTCCTGTGTTGAGCGTCTGCCCCCTGATGGTCAGTGCATGTTATAGTGACCAATTGTTCTGGTCGTTCTGCCATAAAGGTCGCTTAGGCTTTTATTATATAGACTAGAGGCCTGTTGCACGAAGAGATTCGTGCAATAGGCCTTCCCTTTCCCTGGCTGCCGGCACCGGTTTTCCTCTGGCACCCGGGACCCAGGCCTTCGCTCTGGCTGGAGCCTTCAGTCTTTGCGGCTCCGGACAGAGCCTTCAGTCTTCGCTCTGCCGCTTCCCGCCTACGTATGCAAATTAACTGCCATCTTTGTTGGGTTATTTTGCATACTCTCCTGATTGGCTGGTGAGCATAGTGGAGGGACGGCTAATTTACATGTTTGTCTATTATAAGGTAAGCTTGTCATCACCGAGCAAGATAGGTGCCATTACCCTCGGTTTTTACAGATGAGGAAGCTCAGGGATTTACCCACTTACTACTTAGCATAAAATCCATCTTCTCCCCTAAGAAAGATGTTTAAGTGAAAACATCTTGTTATTTTGTGCATAATATGCTTTTTTTGGTTTTTTTGTTTTTTTTTTTGCTTTAAAGGGGGGACTCCATGGTAGTTTTTATTTATTTTTTTCTGATATTTTCATATTTAGAGTGACAGAGATTTAGGAAGATGTGGGGAATTGTTGGGCCTATCTCTTTCCTTCTCCTATTGTGTTTTCATTTGGTTTGGGTCACTGTTAAAATGTAAATATGGCCCAGCTGGCATGGCTCAGTGGTTAAGCATCAACCTATGAACCAGGAGGTCACAGTTGGATTCTCAATCAGGCACATGCCCAGGTTGCGGGCTTGATCCCGTGTGGGGTGCGCAGGAGGCAGCTAATCAGTGATTCTCTCTCATCATTCACGTTTCTATCTCTCTCCCCCTCTCCCTTCCTCTCTGAAATCAATAACAATGTATTTTTAAAAATGTAAAAATGCTACCTAGTAGGGGTAGTACACACCCATCACTTTTATCTACATTTCATACTTGAGCAAGAATTAGTTTCTGAGATGGGTCCTTAGAGAGAACAGAGTTCCAGGAGATGGGACCCAGGACAGCTGAGAGTTTAAGGGAGAAGAAAAGGGCACTGGCACATCCCAGAGGAATAGCAGCAGGAACTGGGGCCCATAAGGAAAGACTGTCATCACACTGTCAGCTTCCAGTTTTCTCTATCAGTCCTGGTTGCTGCAGAAGTCAGGGGCAGTGACAGCACTTCTTAGTGTCAAGAGTTAGGCAACTCACACAGTTGCCTCTTAGCCCACTCCTGCTTCTTTGATAGGAGCAGGGCCTTCTAAAGATAATAAGCATCTCTGTTTTTAAATTGAATTTCAACAATTCAAAACCTGGTGGTCTCATAATTACAAATTGCTAAATGTTAGAACCAGAAGGAGATGATTTTCTATTACAACAATGCAAGGTCATAAAACACTCTCTTCTTCCCCACTTTCCAGACAATTGCAACACGACTTTCCCAGGGCCCTGATTTTCAGCACGGATGACTTTTTCTTCAGGGAAGATGGTACCTATGAGTTCAATCCAGACTTCCTAGAGGAGGCTCATGAATGGAACCAGAAAAGAGGTGACCAATTCTTTTTCAAACTCCTGAGAAATCCTATTGTGCACTTACTAGTAGATTGTAGCTGCTGCAGAATGATACATTTAATTGCCATTCTCCCCTCCACCCAAACAGAATGCAAACCTTCCTAGATTCCAGGAAAGAGAAAATGATTGATAATGGGTCCTGAAATAGGCGGCATTAACTTTGTGTGATGAGGACATGCTGTAATAAAATGACAAGATATGGGTATGCTCACCCTTTCTCTCTGACTGTTGCATGTTGTTCACTGTTGTATAACATTGTGTTGCAGCAAGAAAAGCAATGAGGAATGGCATATCCCCCATTATTATTGATAATACCAACCTCCACGCCTGGGAAATGAAGCCCTATGCAGTCATGGTAGGAAGAAGTATCATTCTGAATTTTCAGTTATGGACATTTTGTGAGAAAGTTGAAACTTTTGTTCTTTTCTCATTTTCTGATCTTCCATGATCTCATATGTATTAACAGTCTCTCACAGAGCAGGTAAAGCAGTTATTTTTGTGTTCCTCTGCTGTTCAGTGGCTCAAATTTGCTGACATGCTATTATCACCTTGGGGTACAAGTTGTAAATAGTTCTGGATCAACATTTTTGATAGCTTTTGTCTCGTTTGTTTTCCTAAGGGAAGGTCCACATGGAGCACCCATGGAAACTTGCAGAGAAAGGGAGTTTCAGGGCAACAGAGTTTTTAGTTTAAAAACAGATTTAAGATTAATATTGTAATCCTATTAAGACACTAGCATGCAAATATAACCATTCAGCTCTTAATTGTTAGAATAGGAAAAAACAGTAAGATGAATACAGTGTGCACATTTTTCTTTAATTTTGAAGAGTCTGAACTGTTTTCAGACATGTCTCATCTCTTATGCTAGTGAATTTTCATTCCCTATTGGGTGTAGGAAGGAGAAAAGATCCAGACACAATCAGGGGACAGGAAGGAGACAGCTGAATGTCTGTTTTTGTCATGAATAGCTCCCAAACTGGGCTCATAGCAGTCTATTTTTAGGCCTCTTTTCACATTTTGGGCAAAATAGCTTATATACAGGTGTGCTTTTCTCTAACTATATTCTCATCAACTTCATGTAGGCCCTGAGGGTGGGACTTTGGTGAAAACAGGAGGGAATGAACATTAACTTTGTGGTCACTTCAGTTCATGGATCAAGAGTCCACTTGGGAGAGAAATGAACAGGGATATGAAGAGTGAAGTTAATTAAGGCACAACTCAAAACCACGAGTTAGGGGGAACGGAAAGTCACTTAAGGGAAGTCACGTTACTTTTTATTTTCTGGTTATGTACAATCTTTTTCTGCCATCCACAGCTATTAATAAGACCCAGAAATTAGATATTTTCCATATATGATGCTTGACTTCTTTCCTAATTAGAAGTGTTCATCTCAAGAATGAAGAGGACATCTTTTTACTTAGCTCTTTTCATTGAACTTTTATTATTGAGAGTTCAGTTTGAGATAAAAACATAGTAGTGAATTTGTGAATTCAAAGGATATTTGGGTGTTTATATGTAAACTGTAAGTTTTCTATTTTTTTTTTTTTTTGGTAAACTATAAGTTTTCTAACAAGGAAATGGGCACAGTGTACTGAGCCACAGTGAGCTACTTTTGGAAGGAAGAGTATGTAAAGGATGGGGGGAAATCACTTTTATTTCATAAGCTCTGCTTCTATGGCACTACCATTTTCTAACCAAGGCATGAGGAATAGGACAAGGCATTTGACAGACATAAATCTATGATAATCCTATAAGGGACTCTGAGAAGCCATTGAGGTCATTGCTCATGGACAGGAAGTTTTAAGCTAGTTCAGCTATTTTTAAAAATGTCTAAAACAAATAACCTTCATAATTTTCCTATGTAGTAGATAAAATGGACCAAAATTTATCACTTATCACTGGGAACTGTAATATAATCTGAGAGTGGCTAAGCATGGCCATGAACCAACTATATTTATTAAGATAAACTAAGGCACTGGCTTACTGGTAAAACAAAAGAAATTTTATAAAAGATATGCAGTGAATGTTTAATGCCAGTATGAACATTCCCATGCAAACATACCATGTGTTCAATGTTTTATGTGCTTTTGAAAAATTAGGCACTTGAAAATAACTATGAAGTTATATTCCGAGAACCCGAGACTCGCTGGAAATTCAACGTGCAAGAGTTAGCCAGGTACTTCTGTGTTTTTCTAGCTCCTCATTATGTGTCCTGCTGTTTTCAGGTATTTCAGACCGAACAAAAGAATCTTTTCAGGCTGGAAATGGACATGGTAGTTTTCAGGCCAGAAATGGTAATTCTTAGAAACTGATAACTTGGGAATTATTAATGTGAAGACTGTAGTTTTGGGTCAGTTTTCTAATATAATGCTAATTCTTGGCTTGGACTCAGTTCTTCAAAAGAATACATTTAACATTCGGCTAAAATGCTTCTTCAGTAATGAACATTTAAAAGCACTTTCTTCTGCATGGGATTGCACATGTCAGTGGTGTTTTTGCATTTAGGCTAAATAAATATCTTTAGATGCTGAAAAGTCTGTGGTTCATTTGTGGTCCAGATGCTGCTTCTAATTTATAAGCAATAAATGTCCAAATAATACTAACTTGTTGATTGAATGCATGGGTTCTGATATTATCTGTGTTACTTGATAATGTCAATGATTTAAGTAACCAGTGAAAACAATTTACTTTTTAGGAATAAGGCTAGTTCATCTTATGGTTAAAAGGAGATACAGTGTTTCCAAAGTGGGTTTGTGAACCACAACCACCTGAGCTGGATGTTAAAAATCCTAGCTCGAGGCTCCCTTTCCATAGTTGGAATCTCTGGGAATTACATTTTGACTTATATCCCCAGTTGATTCTCACGCCCACTAGGATTTAAGATTGTTTTAATAAGCATCTAGAAGTGTCCAGGACTGACCCACATAAATTGATATATTCATGCTTAACAGGCAAATCTACCATGAAAAGATCTCCTGGTGTTCTATTGTGTCTTGAAGCACAGAATTGAGATTTCCAGAAACAAAGCATTTCTGATGCATTAGCTCTCTACAAGCCTCAGGGTGGTTTAGGGGTGTGCAGGGCAGCATGAAAAACAGGAGTGGAACCTGAAAGAGGACTGCATAACAAGATGTTATGCTTTTGTCACAGTTAAACCCTGAGGATAGAGTGCATACCTATGTAATAATACAGGACTTGTAAAATACAAGTAACTCATTTTGATATCTGGCCTTAACTATATGTTTGCATGTTTTTCCATGTAGAAAAAACATTCATGGAGTCCCAAGAGAAAAAATACACCGAATGAAAGAACGGTATGAGCACGGTGTTACCTTTCATAGTGTGCTTCGCGCAGAAAAACCAAGCAGAGTGAACAGAAGCCAGGACAGGAGCGGTGCATCGCCTTCCAATGGGACAGGATACTGGAATACCTACGCAGAGTTTCCAAACCGGAGGGCTCCTGGGGGCTTTACACATGAGAGCCCCTTTAACAGAAGAGGCGGTTATCACCATGGATATTAGAGGCTGATCTTACAGGCAGAGTTTTCCTAAATCAGTTTTTACTTCGATTTTTGGTATTTATTCTTTGTTCAGTTTTAGTCAGAGCTCTAATTCCAGTGTAAATAGTCGAACCTGAACGTTTTTGAGCAGAAGTCATCATATTCATCTTCAACAGGCATTTGTTAGTGATGCTCTATGCATGGCCTGATGCTGGGAGTTCTGCAGGTTTGGTTAGACCAAGTCACTCTTTCTAGGAAAACAATTAATTTGAAGATGAAACCTGAGAAACATACCCAAGAATGTAATCAATTAGTCACATAGGTTCATAAATAAAGTGTTTACAGTATATATAATAAGCTTCAGTACCACTTTCTCTGAAGTAATCTATTTTTTCAGGAATTCATCTCCATCAGGAAAGTTGGAAAGATGGGAGAAGTGAGAGGCAGGAATAATTTTAGTACCATTGCTACTTTTTAAATCTATGTATCCAAAAATGTGAAATATATGGCTGTAATGATGATATTGATTTTCCTTTAAAATGAATATACTAAGAAGTATACATCTAAAGGAATACTGTCCTTCAAAGTAGACACTTTGGGAAATTATTCCTTTATTCTAATGACGTGTCATTGTTAAAAATGTCTGTCAAATCCTTCTTAATAGCTATACCAGCTACTGAGGAAAATCAGTGTCATTATTTGAAGTCACAATTTTAGTTTTGTGTTTTAACTACCACTCTATTGAACAGGATTAAACCTGAATAACTTTTGGCTGTTGTGCTAATAGTATAAATAAAACAAACCTCCTTTATAAAACATCAATTTTTAAGATGAATCATTAAGCAACTTTTAAAATTTTGCTTATAAGTGTAATTAGTAGGCAGCCCCAATGTTTGGGAGTACAAGGAATTAAGCATCCCAGGATGTAAATTACAGAGGGATAAGATGAGCAATGTTGGTGTTTTATATGACATCAAGACAATGAAGTTCTACCACAACTCTGGAATGTCCCTCAAGCCAATACTGAATTTGTGAATCCAAATTAAATCTGAATAGAGGAATCAGATTTTGTGTGAGACCCAAAATAGATAAGAACATGTAGGATGTATGCTTTATTTCTTGTTGGCTAACGGCTTCTCGCTAATGTTCTGTGAAGTATTTTAAATGTCTTATATAATGGTGCTTTTATGGTTATTAAAAATTATAGTATATGGTATTGCTTTATATGGATTTGTCATTGAATCTAAGCCTTTTTTGTTCAACAATATAAAAAATTTAATTACCGAAATCCCACAGAATTCTACCATATTAAGATACAATTTTTCACTCTGGCCAGTTTTGCTCAGTAGTTAGAGCGTCAGCCCAAGGACCAAAGAGTCTTGAGTTCAATTCCTGATCAAGAGCATGTACCTCAATTGCAGATTTAATCCCCAACCCCAGTTGGAGCATGTGCAGGAGGCAACCAATCAACATGTCTCTCACATCATTGTCTCTCTCCCTCTCCCCCCCCCTCCCCGTCACCCTCCCCACCCCCGTCCTTTTCACTCTAAAAATCAATGGGGGGGAAAATCCTCAGGTGAGGGTTAAAGAAAAACCAATATTTCTATATCATAAACTTATTTACCAATCTTCTTTAATAAATAGGATATAAAAGAAAAAATTAACCTTATTTACTTGCTTATATAAATTATTTTATCTATGTACTTTAGAAAGACTATTTTGACATTCCATTATCTGACTCTATTGAAATCTCAACATCTTGATGACTACCATCAATACATCTGTAATTGTTCATTAACATTTTAAAAATTAGTATCTCCCAAGTTTGGCTGATGAAACTAAAATTTAGTGAATTTGAATAGATCTAAGGTATTATTATAGTTTTACTAAGTTTGATGAGTCCAAGCAAGCATGTTCCACAATAATCCTCTAATAATCATGATAATTCACATAATACTGCAGTCCAGGGCCCAGGTAATCCTGAGTGTCTAGTCCAGTGGTTCTCAACCTTCCTAATGCCACGACCCTTTAATACAGTTCCTCATGTTGTGGTGAACCCCAACCATAAAATTATTTTCGTTGCTACTTCATAACTGTAATTTTGCTAGTTATGAATCATAATGTAAATATCTGATATGCAGGATGTATTTTCATTGTTACAAATTGAACATAATTAAAGCATAGTGATTAATCACAAAAACAATATGTAATTATATATGTTTTCCGATGGTCTTAGGCAACCCCTGTGAAAGGGTCGTTCGACCCCCAAAGGGGTTGCGACCCACAGGTTGAGAACTGCTGGTCTAGTCGATCTGATTATTGCTGAATTCACTCAATCAGGAGGGCTTGACTCATTTAGGTTAGTAGAAGGAAGGAGTGTCAGAGAACCCAAACTGGAATTACCTTCCTTTGATTCCAAAGAATCCAAAAGGGTCAGAATTCAAGCCCTCCCAATTTGTCTGGCTCTCTTATTAGGACTTTTAGGCTACTAGACCTAAAGTGACTGCTATGGAGAAGTGGCTCCAGGTTATAGAACCAGAGCTTTTACAGAGTTCAGAAGAATAGTTTCCTGGTCTATCTGCCTCTTTTTACCCCCCCCCCCCCCCCCCGCCAAATCCCCTATATGATGCCTAAAATACTTGGTATGGAAACATAAAAATAATTAAATGCCATCAACTTTACATATCCCAGCTAGAAGTGATCTATTTTTCTCTCTCTCTGATTTATATACTTTTTTGAACCCTCAACACTGACATGTATTATTTCGTGTGTTAATGTTTGCATCATTCATTGAACAGGTGTAGGACTTTATATGCACAAGAGGCTCTCACTGAGTGTTGAATAGGTAACACAAATTACTTTTACTATTTATCTCTTATGCAGGGTACACTGTTGACTTTGTCATCATCAAATTGTCACTTTTGGGGGGATAATATCCACATATTCTCAAGCTTCATATTTTTCTCATATAGCTTAGCCACATTATTTACAATTTATGAAAGGGAGGATGTGCATTAAATCTCTCTCTGACAAGGAGTCTACGTGGTAATGAAAAATGGAGGAGGTAATAGCAGTTAAATATTTCCAGGCTAAAAAAATGGTTAAATTATTATAATTCTGTCTGTTCCTGAGACTCAAGTTTTATTCCCTGTTCTAGAATGGATCACCAGGAAAATGATTAGCATGTGAAGTCCAAATTATTTTACGAACAAAACTTAAATCACATTAATAAGATGGGCAGAGCACAAGTTAAAAAGACTAGTGGAATGGACTACTTGTCATGTTAATTTTTAGAGGAGAGAAAATTATGGATCATAGTTATAGAAACAAACTGCTTCATAAAAGAATTTATCCTTGGCTTTGAAATATGTTTATAAATAGATTTGAAAACATTACCCACTATGCTGTACATCTGGAACTAATAAAGAATAATACTGAATGTACACTGTAATTTAAAAATATATATACTAGTATATACATGTGTGTATGTATGTGTGTATATATATATGTATATACACATATATACATACTTATATATGTTAGATATACATTTTAAGACACTGAGAGACCCTATTAGAGAGCTTCTCCATACTATAAGTTTGTAGTTAGAACTGCTTTTTCTCTTTTCTATTAAACATAAGAAAGTAAAAAATGAGAATATCATCTTGAATTGAACTGTTACCTTCTGCCCAGAGGGGGGTGCTGAGAGAACACAAGGGGTAAAAGGAGCATTAGCACTTCCTGTGAAGGCCGGTAGAGCAGGGTTGATTTGAAAGACAAAATTAACACTATGAAATCTACTTCTGAATTAATGTATTTGAACTTTTAATTGAAGTAATTTAATTTCAGAGATTACATTGGGATCATATAAAGGAATTAATTATACCCAGGGTCCTATTTTTCTTGTAGTTACACTGACGTAAGAATAAACAATTTGGTCAAAAGCAAGCACCAGTCATATCTTAGTCCGATTTTTGATCATGAAAGAACTGCAGTACAACTAACACGTGCATTAAGGAAAAGTGATTCATAGTGGGTTACCTCTAAAAACACACATACACGAAAAGAAACTAAAGTAGGAACTAAAGTAAAAGGAATTATGTGAGTCAAAATGACTCTACTGAGAAACCTAGTTTCATTTAATTAAGGACACAATCTAAACAAAAAGGGTATGTTCATCTGTAAAATACTTGTGAGCAAATCCCATCAGAAAGGTTTTTTCGTTGATTAGTTAATAAATATATAAACAGTGTTAAGGTCTATAACTGAAATAAAAGTATACCAATATAGAAACAGGCAAAGAACATTCCTGGGATATATGAGTACTGAGGTAGATTTGGAACCATTTCTCTTCTCATTTTGCAGATATGGGTGTGTGCTTTGAAACTGCATGTGTGTTACAAACTGGAAAGGTTAAGAGTCAGTAACTAATTTTTGTCGTTTTCGGTTCTGTTGCCTTTGCAGTCCCTTAGATGTATCTTGTATTGTACTTGTGTCTTGAATAGAGTCTCCTGTTTCTCCAGTACTGATGTGGGAATTCTGTTCTGTGACCATAGGGGTAAAATGGTGCCTTTTCCGTTCGAGATCGTATCTTGAACAGGTGGGAGCAGTCCCAGTGGACTCACCCATTGATACAAGTTGTTTTTTTCCTGCTGAACAAGACAAAAGGGTTTGGGTATTTATCAATGCAAGTTCTTCGTCAGCTATTGAATCGCTTTCCAAAACAGAAATGTCATTAAATTTTTTAAGTGGAGTTATCTGAGGAGAACTCAATTCTTTTTTCTTTATAGGTGTTTCATATTTGGTGCCACAACTTCGTGGTGGCTGAAATGCCTTCTGTGCGGCTGGAGAAACAAATGTACAAATGGGACTAACAGGTGGAGGTAAAGGCAGTCTACTCAAGAAGTCCAAGGCTCGTCTCCTTTTGCAGTTTTTTTGGTCATCAACCTCTTTCTCCCCTTTACAAGACTTTGAAGTCATTTGGGCTGATACAGGTGTGGGAACAGACTTCCCTTTTGGCTTACAAAGTGATAAAGAACTTTGATAGTTCATCTCACTTTTGGGAGAAGACATCTAATAAAAAAACAAATGAAAAAGAGGCATATATAATTATGTGCTCATATATAAAGCAAAATCAAATTAGCTTTTTATTAAAAATATTTAAACACACAAATAACACACACATTCTCACTCTTGTAATGTCTAATAGGGCAGATGATTTCATGAGTCATACTTTTTTAAAAATTTTTTAAAAAAAAATTTTTTAAATTTTGTTTTATTGCTTAAAGTATTACAAAGAATATTATATATGTCTCCTTTTTTCCCCCCCCTTGACGTTCCCCCGGCCTCCCCTACCCGCCAGTGTCTTGTGTCCATTGGTTATGCTTATATGCATGCATACAAGTCCTTCGGTTGATCTCTTACCACCCCCTCTTGCCCCCCAACCCTCCCCGGCCTTCCCGCTGTAGTTTGACAGTCTGTTTGATGCTGCTCTGCCTCTGTATCTATTTTTGTTCATCATCATGAGTCATTCTTATTCCCTCAGAAGGAAATAATTTCACAGAAGAGGATATAAAAATGACATGAAAAGATGAATGAAGACTAATCATAATGAAAGACAAAAAAGACAGTAGGGGACATAACTTCTGCTTTAATCTTTTTTAGTATTAACAAGTTAAACAAAAATAAGCATTTCAAAACCATTTTAAGAACACAACACCGCCTGGGTTCTAATACCTACTTTTCTGGTTTTGTGACTTCAGGCACATCTGTAAAATGGTGACCGTAGTAATTTGTGTCTCAGAGGACTGTTGTGAAGGTAATGAATTAGAGGACTGTTGTGAAGGTAATGAATTAATATAAATACATTTACCAAGTGTTAGCTACTTAAGAATTAGTCATTTACTGTGATTTAAAGAGTTAAATAAAATTGACTTTAAAAACAACCCTAATTATATAGAACCAGAGGTCCAGTGCAGGCTGCCGACTGGGTACTCCCTCCCCCTGGCTGCCTGCCGCTTCCAGGGCCTCCCTCCCTTCCCCCGCTGGCCCCGCCCCCTGGTCGAACTCCTGGATGAACTCCCAGTTGAGGGGACAATTTGTATACTATGCTTTTATTATATAGGATAGCCCTCCTGGTACAAAGGTACTGGCAAAAAAGTCTTTTCTACCACATGTACCTGAAATACTAAAATTA